CTTATTTGTCATATTCTTCCTGATGGAACTTTCCAGTAAATTAAGATTTGATTTTCTGTGCATAAACCTCTTAACTACGTAGATTTTAAAGACTTCTGGTCTGCAGATATTCCAGATATGCTATTTCGTAATAAATCAGATACTGAAAGCTCTTGGGTTGATATGATGATATAAATTCAGTCACTAGTCACAAAAATAACAGCAAAAGAACATATTTCACTTTACAAGTAGCTTAATGGGAAAAGTATAACAATGTCAAAGCTGACAAGGAGATACTTCTAGGTTGAGAACATAAGATCAGGACAAAAAGCAGTTAGGTCCACTTGTATCATATACGTACCTGTCCACTGACATAACTTGGCAACAGGGCGTGGCATCGGATTCGTATTCTGTAGGTCCCGGATTCAAATCTCGGCCTTGAGACCAGCTATTCTGACTGAGGGTCCTCGGTTCTAGACAGGTCCTTGAATACTACCTTAAATTAGGCCACAACTGCTTCCTTACTTATTTCTGCCAATTCATTATTAAATAATCATCCCATCACGCGATGTTGCATGCACTGAACTACTGACAGCCCACTTAAATAAACAAATACGACGCACCTTAGCTTCGAATCATAGTTAGGTATGTGGGCTCACTAAAATTGAGACTACAAACATTTCTGTTTGTTTGACTAATAGAAGTACGTTCCTGTTTTTCTTTAAATTCAGCCGTAACGCCAGTAAAAACAGGTGACACGTCATAATTATGGATTGACGTAAGGACAAGGAGACACTGCTTTACTTTGTTTACATAAATTAATCGAAAGAAGTATTAATTTTTAATCGGTTGAAGTTTAAAGCACACTGACATATGAAAGTCGGTAAATGCAGACAAAACCATGGAATTGAGTACCATGGACCCCTCTTCCTCCAAGCATTGCATTTGTATATCGGTATACAGCTGACGGACTGATTAGAATTCTGTAGAGCCAGAAGAGGGTTGAAAAATTGCTGCATGCCGCAGACGTGGGTCTTGTTCCACTGCGCTCACGTCCACCCTCGCGGTGTGGGTGGTTTCTACAGATGTAAGCCATTAGCACTAACGAATATATACCTCGGTGGGTCCAGACTATGTATACCGTAGGTCCATCAAGACGGCGATTAGGTTCATGCGGCCTGGGGAATTCACGCCAGACGGAATAAATGAAAAGACTGGACCACGACGAGACACATTTCGTTCCTCTGCTGGCGTAAGGTTGGTAGCTCGCACACGCAAGCATCCCTCCGCCCCCGTCATCTTTAGTTTGCAATTAATCTATATTAAATAACATTATTACTTAGCTATCATTTCTGCGCCTAAGTTTCTTTAATGGCGTTGTGCCAATAAAGAAAATCGAATATGAAATGACAAATTTCCACATAAAAAACAAGTAAACAGATAAATCTAGAATTACGTAGAATAACATCTGTATGAAGATAGCTGTCTTCTGGGATTTTGCGGCCTGTAGTCTGTAAGATACTGACCGACGTTTCAGAGAACCTTACTGCCTCCATCATCAGGGCAAATCTACACGGCACAACTTAGAATACACCCATCTTCATAATCGTCGCCGTGAGAACCTGAAATAACACAACTGCATCGAGACTGACAAATGAACAAAGAAGGCAGTGACAAACTGTCGACTGCAGTGAATATCTTGAAGACTGCATGAAGAATGACTACATCAGTCCAGGCAGAACGAGAAATTGTTAGTCAATACCGTAATTTCAGGAAAGGGTTATTCAATAGGGACTAATTTTTCTACTTTGTTTCACACAGGTTTTATTTTTCACCGAGTATTTTAATAAGGGCAATGTTTTAATCCATTCATGTCTTTTTCTCCAGGGGTTTTCTCCGACGACGAATGTACACATGTGGTTGCCTGCTGCAGCCCTTTATGTGTGCACAACTGGTGACATCTGTGAACGTGTGCGTAATTAAACATCCAGAACGCTGATCTCAGGTTACGTCGTTAATAATATAAAGTTTCACGAGGTTGGTAGTTTAGCTCTGACCTTAAATCCGGAATTATAAAACGGTGTGGAAATCAGGGATTAGGAAGTTGTGAGTGTTGTTCAGATAAGTGTTCCTCATGTGGAAAGTGTGTTTTTATTGTGAGGGTGTTTTAGTGTGTCGTGCTTCAAGGACCGAGTGGATGCCACGCGTTGTGAACGAGAATCAGCGGTCGGTGAGTAAAAAACATAAACCTAATAATATTCTGTGGTTGAGTGTATTAATCACACGTAAAGAGACTATTAATAATGTTTTCTTTTTTTAAAGAATCAGCTCTGAAATTAATCCACAGCACATACAGTATAATACGATTAATTGACTATAATTTAACAATTAATAGAGTTCCATAGCATAATTGTCAGTACTTAAAATAAACCCCGTACCTGGCACAGTGCCGTACACAGCCAATTTTTCTCCCTTTCTGATTACGAAAAGTGCCTCCTCCGCGTCATTTATATAAGAGTTCTTGATCGGAGTGCCTGAGTAAGGCCACCAACCGCAATCTGAGGACTTAGGAAACGCAGAACTCTGGCACTCTGAAAACATAACAGATGAGTGGCAGATATGAAGAGTGGCGTTACAGACAGCTAAAAGGCGTATTTTTATCGATTTAATATCCACGAATTCGTCAAGAGTCAAGAGCTATGCGAGTGTTTCTTCTATAGAAATTAACGCGAAGTTTGAAGCATGATTCTGGGTGCATGTTGACCGCAGATAGAGTTTTGTACGACCGGCGGATACCACGAGCCGCATATGTGTAAGTAGGTTCCAGTTTCGTACTCCGAATCTCAGGAAGTCAAGCCTCTTTAGAATAAAGCGTGGTATTCCATAGCACAAAAGTTAATGAGCAGGCCTGCCTATTAATGCACGCATCAACATTTATTTTGATACATTACTACGAAAAGTCGAAGAATCAAGTGAGTTTCGGTGTCCCTTAGAAACATATTAAAATCATAAATTAATAATGCTGAACCAGCATGAAGGTGTTCTTCGCGACAACATAGGATCACTAGTATAACATGGCATAAGGGAAGTGCAGCCATAACGGACATTAATATTCAATTATTTTGTGATACAGTTGCGAAGTGATGTTCGATTACATTAAGTGACTAGCGGCGTGCGAAGTAATTGCGTTTTTATCCGCTTATTTCAATCTCGTTTTGAATGTAACGAACAAATTAACATGACGCTCGTCAAATAAAACCGTCAAGAGGAGTGACTGCATGGATGTTTTCATAAAAGGTTGGACTTGTTACAGTTACCAGTTTCATCATGAAGTAAATACTTTTTTAATTTTGTATATAAAAGTATAACATTTTATAAAACTGGCTACAGAAGACAAGTTACATAACCCATAGTAGCAGTTCAATATCCTGATTGGAATTACACTTTATACCGTCCATGTGTTTGATATAGGAATTATTTCAATTCTGGATAAATAAAGCGACTGTGTGGTGCAAACTAGCAGGTCTACTGTTTTATGTCGCATTTTTTACTGCGGTTACTACACAGTCAGAAATATTCCCAGTAACAGAGGGTAGTATATAAAGCTATAGGTTTAGAAATTATTAATACGATTAAAATTACAGCTTGTAACGAAATGAACAATTTACTGTGCATTATAGACTTTACATAGAGACTAACGTTCAGGAAGAACACGCCGCCTACATCTTCAGGCCTGAAAATTGTCACCCGTGAATTATGTTTTCCTGAAATTCTCCTATTTTCTCTGCTATTGTAATTTTGGTTGTTATTTCTTTTCGCGGACCTTTCGTAATGGGATGCTAGGGTTATTCACTTGGTGTCTCCGACGTAAGACCTATACATCCACCCCCCCCCTTCTTCTTCTTCTTCTCCGCCGCCTACACCGCTGAGAACACCTGTCGGCGCGTTTCATGTGCCGCGGAGCCAAACCCTCCCCTCCCATGATCGGAACACGACCTTTTAGAACAAAACACTGGATGTGTCTCACACCTGTACATTTTTTTGGATGGTGCATTAGGACGTTTCATTACTGACCGATTACTTTAGTTAATTCCGAACTCTCCGTCAGCA